CTTCTGGTCGAGGGTGAGGTTCTGCCTCAAGTGGAGGAGTTCAAGTATCTCGGGATTTTGTTCATGAGTGAAGGAAGAATGGAGCGAGAGATTGACAGATAGACTGGTGCAGTGTCTGCAGTATTGCTCACGCTGTGCTGGTCCATTGTGGTGAAGAGGGAGGTGATCTGTAAGACAAAGCTCTCTGTTTACTGGTCAGTCTACGTTCCTCCCCTCATCTCTGGTCATGAACTCTGGGTTGAGACTGAAAGAATGAGATCGTGGATCCAGGAGGTTGAAGTGAGTTTCCTCTGCAGGGTAGCTGGACTCTCCCTTAGAGATGAGGTGAGAAGTTCAGTTATCAGGAGAGACTCGGAGTAGAACCGCTGCTCCTCCACATCGAGAGGAACCAGCTGAGGTGCTTCGGGCATGTCCAACTGGGAGGAGACTCCGGGAAAGACCCAGGACACGCTGGAGAGACCACGTATCTCAGTTGGCCTGGGAACGCTTAGAAATCCTCCCAGAAGAGCTGGAAGAGGCTGTGGAGAGAGATGTCTGGACCTCCCTGGACCAGCTGCTGCCCCCAAGACCTGAGTCCAGAACAAGACGAAGACGATTGAAGTTTTTTAACGCTTGAGTCGCCGTCTGCTCTCCCAACAGTTACAGCTCAGCAACATCCCACTTTAAGGAAGCTGTTTGTGATTTTTAAACTTTGTGTTTGGATGACCTTTGTGGACTTCAGAGGATTTTCACGACGAGCCTGTGGAGGAAAATGAGATTTAACGATCGTCTGTAACAGAATCATCATTTAGAGAAACCTGACACGGCTCTCCAGCTCAGACCACAGCGCTGCTCTTACTCCTCTCGCTGAGAAGTTTTGTTTAAAAGAAAACGTCTTAAAATCTTGAATGTATTCTGATGCTTGGAGTTGTCTCGTGAGATTGCATAACTCCCGTATGTAGAACCTCGTTTGGTCGGACCTCTTTTTCCTATAAAAGCACAACATTATGGAACTTATAAACATGTAAAAGCTACACCTGAACTAAAAACGTCCGTCTACATGACTGAATCTTGGCCAAAGGAAAATCAAAGATGCGATCATTTTTAATACTCGGACTTTAAGGATGCACAAGTCTTTGTGGTAGTGCATGTATCAGTGAGTTAGTATTACATTTACAATTTTTATCATGTTAGCTGAATGTGTGAGGATGGGGAGGTATTGAGGAGGTGCTATTTATGTAAATTTGTGGGTTGCAAGGTTATTTTAGAATTTGTAGAGGAAAACGTTTTGTATTTTTATTGTATTTAGAGTTTTTTAATTGTTTGTATTTTAATGTATAGTTTTTATTGTATGAATTTGGAGGTTGTTAGGTTGATTACATGAATATGCAGACAGGAATACGTAGGTACTCGTACTGTATTTTGATTGATAAACTGTATGTATTTGTGTAGAAATGCCCAACCAGGGACTGGAGCTGTGAATTAGCTGTAAACTCTTTGTGCAACGCATCAGTCAAGACTTGTTCTGTTCTGTTTGTGTGCACTGTCCCTGTCAAATAAAATAAAGAATGAATTGTCTGCTTGACTTTTCTTTTCTGTAATAAATTGGTATTACATAAGAAACGTCCTATCCATCCAATTTTCTGCCAGAACAGGTATAAAAGCTCATCCAGAAGGACTTAAATCCACAGTAAAAAACTAAAACCACAGACAGTGCATTCTGACACCAAACAGCCAAATTTGGGATTATATCAGCTGAAGCCTCCAAAACAAGATTTCTAGTGTTGGAAATGCACAAGATTTAATTTGAGTATCTTCCATGAGTAAGTATGATAAAAAAAAAATACAAATATTTATGTTTCCTGGCATTTTAGTGTTTATTTTATTTAAAAATTGCTCAGACTTTCAGTTCCTTGTGTGTCCCTGAACAGGACAGTTGGACGACTTGTGGTAAAGCAGTGAAACGATGCTGAGCCGGTGTGAGCTGTTTTCTCTTCTTTACGTAAATGTCTGCAGAGAAAGAACGTTTAATCGACTCCAGCGCTTCGTTTGCAAATTGTGCGTCTCACGTTGTTACATTATGGAGCAAATTGGTCTTTTTTTTAATCCCTGTCAGTCATTAAATCTGCAGAAAAGTGAAAGGAGAATAATGATTTCATGCTTCCATGACGGCCGTATTGATTCCCTGCTCGTTTAACTTGTTTCTTTTTACTGAAAAGAAGCAAGTTAAACGATTAATTTCATTCTGAGGGGTTGTCTCAACGCCACATGAACTGTGCCTACGTGTACAAATACTTCTGGAGGTTTTACAGTGAACTTTAAAGCAAAGGATGATTTTTAATGAAGTTTGTGCTTTGGATGAATAAAGGAAATCTAAAGATGATTTCTCTTTTGTTGATAAAATGAACCCATTTGATTAAAACCATCAAACATTGTATCCGTTTATTTTTAATTTAACATCACAGTTTATTGATTCTTATAAAACTCCAGGTTTGTGATTATTTAAATATTTTTTTATTTCAGCTTGTTTGTGAAAGAAAATGTTATGAAAAGAAATAATAAAAAAACTATTTTTTTTTTGTTTTGCTATAAGTTTCACAAATATTATAAAAAAAATTTCATACTGTTTTTGAATAAATTCTGAATATTATCTGGAAACCAGTTTGTTGATACAGAGCTGATTTAAACACAAACCTTGTTTTTGAGCACAGATTAATTCAAATGAAGCATCAGATTACAAGAAAAACACTTTTCTGACATCTAGTGGACAAATACTTCAATGCATTATTATCTTCTTCTTCTTCTTATTATTATTATAATTATTATTATTATAATTATTATGAATTACCTTGGAATAGTCATTTTGAAAATCCTACTTTAAGTAACACATTTCATAACAAATATTGTTTTTAAAATATATATATATATATATATATATATATATATATATATATGTCAGTTATTAAAAATGCCTCACAGGTTATCTCTGGATTTCATCAAAGTTTCAGTAAAGAAAAAGCAGAAATTATTCTAAGGCCAACAAATCTCCTTTATTTCAGTTTCTGCAGCTCATCTGTGGTCGGATCATGGTGGCAACAGTCCCAGGAGGGAGACCCAGACCCTCTTTCTCCTCAGCAACACTCTCCAGCTCCTCCTAGGAGGAGTCCAAGGTGTTCCCAGGTCACAGAGGTCTGGGTCTGCCTGAAAAACCTCCAGGAGGTCCCCTACAGAGACCTGAATCACCCCAGCTGACTCTGTTTTGATGATAAGGAGCGATTCTTGTCTTTATATCAATTAATTAATTAATGACTTTAATTAAAAGTCACTTGTGGGCTAAAATACTCATTCGATCAAGAGAAAAATGGAGATTTAAACTGGACACTGCTTGACAGCCATGAGCCTTCACATTATTTTTATAATTATTAAATTTCCCCTTATTTTAAATTCAGTTAATTTGTTAAATTTCTACATTAAAGGCTGCATTTTGCGGCATCTGCTCAGAACATTTGGTTGAAATGTTAGATTTTCAACCTTCTAAAAATTTAAACAATTTAAAACATAAAGGTCTTTGAAGGAATGCTTCTCACCCGCCGCCTTGTAAAAGTTTTAGTCTCAGATCATTTTATTAAAAAATGATTGTTTTAGTAAACTTGAAAATAACATACAATATTGTGACATGTGAAGCTCAAGTGAGTATTAAATGAGTCTCAGCTACTACCACAACAAATATATATATCAATATAGCTCCACATGACTGTGTGTGTACACTTGATGTTAATCAGCTGTAAATAATTAATTCACAAAGGTTAAAATAAAATCAATCAAGTGGTTCATGAGATGATCTGCTAACAGACACCAAATAATAATGGCAAATCTACAAACAAAAATCTTAATCAATCTGTTTGCAATGGGGAGCAGTCTCAGCTACTACCACTTCAAGTTTTAGTCCATTGACAGAGTTATAGCCATTTTTGTGCTTTGTAAACTGTGGCAGTCATTTTGAATTGGGATACCTCTTAATGTTAAGACGCACGCGCACACAGACAAACAGACACAACATTATCGTCCGCCTGTGCCTTTAAGGTTAAATGAGGTCAAGCAGTGAAATAAACTGGGCTGCAGTTGTTTGGTTCCGCCACCAGAGGGCGCCCGTGTCCGCCGTCGTGCTCCGCTCCCTCCCTGCCGGGGAGGAGCGACCTCCCCCCGGCTGTGACAGCTTCCTGCAGACGGACGGGTCTCCTTCAGAGCCGAGGATGAACTGCGGGTTACCAGAGTAAATCCAGTCGGCATGCAGCGGGAACAACAGCTGGAGTGAATTTCATTTTGTTTTTCGGGGGAGAGCGAATGTCGCAGTCAGAACCCGGTGAGTGTGGCGCTTTCTTTTCGGTAAACGTTGAGGAACAAGTAGTTTTTGTTCCCGGTTTAAAAGTACCTACGTGTCAATGTGTCGTCACGGCGGACTCCGTTCAAAATCTGCGTCAATTAAGCGGATTTATAGTAAACTGTGACTTTATTCACATTAAAAGTAATATTTTGGTCATGTTTTGGATTAAGAATTTAGTGACTTTATATTCGGCGCATAAATAACTAAATAAAACCCTCTACTTGATAAACAATTATCTGCTTTCATGACCTAAAAACTTCCTAAACACTGCCGTTTGTCATTGAGTAATGGCAGAGGAATGAAGTCAGACATTTTTAAAAAGTTAAAATGTTGTGAAATTCAGCCAGGATTTAAAGGTAGGCTCTAATAACACCACTGCAGGTTCATATTTAATGCATTTATGCACTTTTGTAAAGATTTAGTGCAATAAAGTCGTCTTTTCAGTACAAATGTTATCAGCTTGGCATTCATACTTGATTAATATGAAATAAAATATACAATAAAATGCAGAAAACAGCATTAAGTTTATACAGGAATTGCATTCTAATTTTTGCAGGACTTTATTTTTTACTGTCGTTAATTAGTAGGAGCCTCTGGAAAAGAGCTGCTTGTTTTAATAATTTAGTAAATATATATATATATATATATATATATATATATATATATA